AGATTTTCTTCGCTCCCCCACCCCCGGAGAGATGCCTGGTTGAAACTCTGATGGTGTTGTCAGTCCGCTCAAGCAAACAGCTTTATCTCTGCTACGCCTCTGAACCTTAATCTTACTTTTGCCTTATTTTATCCTTAAGCTCTAGCTATCCGTAACGCTATGAAGGTCGAGGTAATTTTAAACTGGGGGTCCATCTTGTCGGGGATAACTAACAGAGGTTGTGATTTACTGTTCCAGTTGCTACCGAACATTAACTACACATACGAAGACACAATTCACACGAGGCTACCGACCGTTAACTACACGCAAAAGGACACCATTCACATGAGACTATCGACCAAGACACCATTCACATGAGACTATCGACCAAGACACCATTCACATGAGACTATAGACCGATACACCATTCACATGAGACTATCGACCAAGACACCATTCAGATGAGACTATCGACCATGACACCATTCACATGAGACTATCGACCATGACACCATTCACATGAGACTATTGACCATGACACCATTCACATGACACCATTGACCATGACACCATTCACATCTGACCTTACCTTTGCTGTCTTTATTTTCCTCGTCGACAAAACCATCGCAGTCGTTATCGACTTTATCGTTGAGCTGGGGCCTAGTCTTCTGACAAGGCTGGCGAGGAAACACATTAGTTAGCAAGTGTAAGTCTGAACTGGAGGTAAGCATACACTTACATAGTTTGACTGTAGCGAGAGTGGGTGTGTGACACGACCAAAACGATGACATATAACAGAACACCCTGCAAGTTAGAGGAGGTCCAGTCAAGAGGCTGAGTCCACTCAGCTCTATTGGGTACCTGTCTCCAGTCTTTAGGACTAGACAAATAACTGTCGTATACACCAATGTAAAACAAAACTGCATTTAAGCTCTTCGTGTCAAATATTTTGTACAATGAATGTTTTTACTTTCTCGTATATACGAAGTATAGAGAAAGTATTGTAATCGTGCACAAAAATCACTTGAAATTTTAACAATTTTCACCGTATTACACCTCAGTCCTTCATCACATACGAAGTATAGAGGACTTATTTTAATCGGGCAAAAATTATCAATCCAGATTTATCAAAATTAAGAGGTTTTATGCGTAATCCAGTCTGAAAAACTGGGCTTTGCAATTCTGTCCGTATGTCTGTGTGTCTGTCTGTCTGTCCGTGTGTAAACACGATAACTTGAGTACCGTTACAGCTAGGTTGATGACATTTCATATATAAGTATTTTATCAAAATCGTAGTTCCGTATCAACTTTTGAACGATTTTCGATGACCGGAAGTGGTATTTTTTCTACTTTGAATTTTTCATAAGCCTATAACTTGAGTAGTATTTCAGATAGATAAATGAAATTTCACATGTAACTAAAAGATCTAATTCTCTAAGTTCTGTTAAATTTTGAGTAATTTCCGTTGACCGGAAGTACTAATTTACGCTACTTCCGATTTCTCAAAAAAACTAATGTAAATTTTTAATGTATTAATAATATTGCGTACTATTGTGCACTTTTTTATTTGGCGTTCACTTGGTGTGCAATTTTTTTGTTTACGAGATTTTATTCTATTTTTAAAACTTTAAGTATTTAAAATGGTTAAAAAATCATGTCTATAGCCCGAGTTCCCATCCCCTGTTGTTTTATATAAGAATATTCGAGAAAGTTTAGGGGAGATCACTCCCGGTTTATTTACTAGTAATTTTAAATACAAACCTTACAGTAAGGTAAATGTAAGATTTAAACTCACGCCGTATAAGTTCGTGAAAACAAAGCCAGCATAGTGAGGAAACATCACGGTGGCGGAGACTCCGTACACGTAAAGCCCAAAATTGGCAGGGTTCACAGAGTACGCCGTGTGCGTCCCTGGGGTCACCTTCTGTGTAGCCGCCTGCCACCTCGCGCCCTCAACATTTCTCCATGGCAACCTTTGTAAAGACAAGTGAAGAAATGTATTTCAGTTGGTCCATTTTCAGATGTAAGCACTGGAGGTATCTAAATATTTAGATACGTTTGGAATCTAGTCCAGATATTTAGTTTGGACTGGGTGTATCAAGTTCGTATATTTAGATTGGTTTGGAATCTAGTCCAGATATTTAGTTTGGACTGGGTGTATCAAGTTCGTATATTTAGATTGGTTTGGAATCTAGTCCAGATATTTAGTTTGGACTGGGTGTATCAAGTTCGTATATTTAGATTGGTTTGGAATCTAGTCCAGATATTTAGTTTGGACTGGGTGTATCAAGTTCGTATATTTAGATTGGTTTGGAACAGAGGCGTAGCAAGGGGAAGACATATGTCTCCGGATGCCGACCTTAGGGGGGGGGGCGCCAAAGTGGATTGGAAAAACAAATTGCAAGTTTGAGGGGGGTGTAAATCAAAAGTTCGAGGGGGGGGGGGGGTGGTGCAAACTAAAAGTTTGTCCCCGGGCGCCGGGAAGGGTCGCTACGCCTCTGGTTTGGAATCTAGTTCAGATGTTTAGTTTTGACAGGATGTATCAAGTTCAAATGTTTAGATTGGTTGGGAATCTTGTTAAGATATTTAAGTTAGACTGGATGTATCAAGTTCGTATATTTAGATTGGTTTGGAATCTAGTCCAGATATTTAAGGTGGACTGGATGTATTAGATTGGTTTGGAATCTAGTTCAGATATTTAAGTTAGACTGGATGTATCAAGTTCGTATATTTAGATTGGTTTGGAATCTAGTCCAGATATTTAAGGTGGACTGGATGTATTAGTTTGATTTAGAATCTAGTTCAGATATTTAAGTTAGACTGGATGTATCAAGTTCGAATATTTAGATTGGTTTGGAATCTAGTTCAGATATTTAAGTTAGACTGGATGTATTAAGTTCGAATATTTAGATTGGTTTGGAATCTAGTTCAGATATTTAAGTTAGACTGGATGTATTAAGTTCGAATATTTAGATTGGTTTGGAATCTAGTTAGATATTTAAGTTGGACTGGATGTATCAAGTACTAAAGCACGCCAGCCACATACTTTGGCACTACACCGTCAACATTGAGGAAGAAATTGTCCCTGGGTGATACGACGGCAAAGTAATGATGTAGTTCTTGATGTTTGATAGTCACTGTGCTGTTGGTGACAAGATTCAAATAGGTTTAGTACACTCTTACAACTACAGTAACACTTACACACACACACTTACACATTCACACACTTACACATACACACTTACACATACACACACTTACACATACACACTTACACATTCACACACTTACACACACACTTACACACACACTTACAGTCACACACTTACACATTCACTCACTTACACATTCACACACTTACACATTCACACATTTACAAATTCACACACGTACATATTCACACACTTACACATTCACACGCTTACACATTCACACACTTACACATTCACACACGTACACATTCATACGCTTACACATTCACACACTTACACACACCCTTACACATTCACACACTTACACATTCACACACTTACACATTCACACACTTACACATACACATACACACGCTTACACATTCACACACTTACACACACCCTTACACATTCACACACTTACACACACCCTTACACATTCACACACTTACACACTCACACGCTTACACATTCACACACTTACACATTGACACGCTTACACATTCACACCCTTACACACACACTTACACATTCACACACTCACACGTTCACACACTCACACATTCACACACTCACACATCCACACACTTACACATTCACACACTTACACATTCACACACTTACACACACCCTTACACACATATATTGGTGTGTACAATTTATTTCTGTCGCCGAAATTTGCCGCCACGCCTCTGAAAAAAAAAGCTGAACGTACCTCCACACGTACATGGACGTGAAGAGTTCTACTGGCACTATCATGGACAGCCCATACCTCTCGTGTACACCGTGGTACGTACTGGTAAACTCTATGTAGCAGACGACAGGCAGGCTGGCGTTGATCCATTTGCCGACGACTTGGTCTGCCGTCTGTAAATTGTACGCAATCATTCGTTAAATGGGCTGTGATAGTGATGAAAACCAATGTTGCAAAACAATTTCGTTTGCAGTAAATCTACTTTTACTTGACAATTTTCTTGTAGTAGCCTACTGTTCGAAGACATGCAAGAGCTATGTACATAGTTATTCTAATAGTGTGTTTTATAAGTCGCCCTTACGTGTCTACTACGTGATCAGGACACAACAGTGTGTTTTTATGAGTCACCTTTAACAAAAAAGCCAACCTGAACAAACAACCAAATGGACTATGAGGCTGACTTAAAAAACGCAAACTTCCAAAATCATGACGGCAAAACACCCCGGTATGTTTTCGTTAAATCTAAAAAGTTTGATCAGACATAAACCAATTAGATATCTACTCAGAGGCGTAGCGAGGGGGGGGGGGTGTGGTTGCGGACCGCACCTGGTAACACCCTACCTTGCTACGCCACTGTATCTACTTCAAGTAAAATATTAAACACCAAGGCTTAGTAACTTTAATTGTAAGCAATTACATGTCAAAATTCAGTTGTCGTTTTGTTTTGCCGTACACAATTTACAAATATGAAACACATCTTCTGTCAATAAATAGTCTAATGTTTACATTTTCTTTTTATTGGTTGGCTGAAGAATTATGTTGCGATATTTTAATAATTTAAGGATTTCGAATTTCCTACGCTGTATTGTATCCCACAGCTCTAGCGATTAAATTAATTTTGTTTAACTCTCAAACTAAATGAAAGTCGTGTGCGCTACAACACTATGCCATTGTCTCCCTCCCCCCCCCCTACTCACCCACAACGTAGGCTAATTAAAAGCACTGTAGTCTTACTTTATTCACAAGCTATACATATCACACAGTCAGTAGTAGTTACTACACAAACTATACGTATCACAGTCAGTAGTGGTTACTACACAAGCTATACGTATCACTCGAACATATTTTGCTCGTAATATCTACTGAGGAGTACAGTTTTCTTAATTATTATGGCTTTTGATTTTAAAATACACTGGAATAGGTCTAGCGATTCCCCCCCCCCCTCCACGTCTTTGTGTCCATGTAAGTCAAAATCTAGTCCAACCGCTATTTAAGTAGATGACTGTGTAAGTAAAGGGGTCGTCCATAAATGACGTCACATTCGTAGGGGGGAGTGGGGGCTGGGGGGGGGTCCGTAATTATGTGACGGTGTGTGATGAGGGAGAGGGCCGGGTTTCAGATGGTGACGTCACTTTTTTTGCATTATAAAAAAAGCAATGTTAGAAAACGAGTTTTTTTTTCGCGTTTAAGAAAACGGGTTTTAACAAATTGTAATAGGAATTGATCAACATACTCTATGTTCTGATAAGATTTTGGAAAATATCGATGTTTTAAAGAAAATTTAACAGCAATTTTGAAGGGGGTGGGGGTTGTAGACTGAGATGTGACGTCATTTTAGGGGAGGGGTCTGGCTTTTTGTGACGATGTGTGACGGAGGGAAGTGGGGAGAGGTATAAATCGTCAAAATAACGTGACGTCATTTATGGATGACCCCCAAAGACTCCATGCCAACCACCCACTCACCAGGTTGATATACCGCCGTGCTGGGATGTACAGCGACGTGACTGCCTGGTTGGTCTGGATTTTCAAGGTCGTGACCTTTCCACTCAGCGAGAGGAAATACACACAGCAGACGTGTTTATCCAGCATTGGTACCAGGAAGTGCTTACCCGCTGAATTGTCAGACAGAATCATATCTGCGGCAAAAAGGAGGGGGGGGGAGGTAGTATTATAAAAACAATAGAAGACAGGTAGTTCTCCAAACAGTTCAGGTGGGTAGTTTCGCTTTGCCTACAGATGGGGGGAGTATTAAATTATGTTGTTATGAGAGGATAGGTTATACCAAAAACAATCGCTTCTTCAGCCAGAGAAGACTTGATAGAACCAATCATCTTGTCCCAATCACCGATTGTTTTTACCCCCTGACTCATGATGTTTACCTCTGGTATGTACCACGTGACACGACACGTGTCACACAGAAACTGTGATACAGGTTTCTAACCCGAGAAGTTCAACGTAGCAGTAGACACACAAGACAGGTGACACAAGACAGGTGACACAAGACAGGTGACAGACAAGTCAGGTGACACAAGACAGGTGACACTAGCCATGATCAGGGGCGGAACTACAGTACCGCCAGACCCCGCAATGCGGGGGGGGGGGGCATGCCATTTAGGGGTCCACGACCGACCCTAATAGTTTTTATTATAGTTTTAAAAAATCTAATTTTCTTGCAATTTTTGACTTAATGTTTGTTTTGTAAAACGATTACCATAGCTGTGGTTTGATTATCTTTATTCTATAGACACCATCCCCACGCTATTGTATATTCTTCTTCCCTTTCTTTTTAAACCACTGTGAAAGCCAAGTCCTCTCTCTCTTCTACAATTAAACTTAATAAAGATAAGCAAACGTTCAAACCACTTCCATGACTTATTTCCCTTTTTAAATAGTCAAATTGGGGTGCTCATAAGCTCCTTTTAATAGATTTGCACTAAACAAATTAAAAAGCAATTACTTCTCTTACAAAATATTTTTTTCATAAAGTACTTACTAAAGAATGACCTTGTATAAAAAGGAAATGTATTTAAAATTAATAATATAAATACAAAAAAAAATCATAACACCAGACACCATTACTTCTACAAGGATTTCATTTTTTATATTCTTTTGGCCAGATAAATGATTAGAGAACCCATAGCAGATAAAATTAAACTGATTTTCTCTAAGCACCAATACACTTACAAAGATATGTAAACCATGTTACTGTAATTATGTTGTATTCTGCTTCATGGAAAATAAAAGTTAAAAAAAAAAATAATAAAAAAACTAATGCACTTACACATGACATGATGTAGTAATTTGTTTAAATTGAAGAAAAAACTTTTTTTTTTCAAAACTCGAACAGGCCAGCAATGAGTATCCTATTCTCTGTTCGTATTTTGTGTTTTATATATATATATATATATATATATATATATATATATATATATATATATATATATATATATATATATATATATATATATATATATATGGGGGGCCTAAAAATAAAATTTGCGGGGTGGCCATTTTTTTCTAGTTCCGCCACTGGCCATGATAGGTACACTAACTCCAGCACCTGTAGCATTTAATATTTACCCCCAGATATACGCTCCGCGACCTTCCGTCCGACCACCTGGCACACCTTTAACTTCGGCATGACCTCACAATTGCCCGTGATGACGCCGATTGCACGGTTGGATTTGACACGCATCACTGCGACTAAAAGAAAAGATCGGCAAGATGACCTCAACTATAGTAAAACCTGATACGTAACAGAACTCTTACTATAGCAACACATATAACGTAACATGACTGTAGCTATGGCAACGCCTGAAGAATAACATGGCTGTTACTATAGTAACACAAGATAAGTAACATGATTAGCTATAGCCATCTACTGCACTAACATGATTAACTATAGCCATTTACTAGACGTCAGATGATTAACTAAAGCCATTTACTACAACGTATGCTCACTACCAGCAATAAGCCAAGACGCTACTACATCTTCACTTACTTGAGCTTATCACATCATCTACGTACTTGCAGTTTAGTATGGTCCGCGCTTCACCTCTGAATTGGAAGATATACAATGTAAGTACAGGCAAATATAGGGTAGATTAGGACCTAATCTAATTAGCAACCTAATCCTTAGGTTACTAAAAACCTTCAACTAAAATGTTTTAAATTGTATTGGTTATGCTTTTTTGGGTTGGCTTAAGTAGATGAGGATAATATTGCCTGGTGTTATTGTGTTTGAATTATAAGCCGTAAAATAGATAAGACACATGCAATGTTCTGATGATTTCGAATAAAACACTACAGGATACCATGTGATGTTTCAAATAGGGATTTTCCTTGATCGATACATTTTTTAAATTAGTGGCGTCATGTTAAATAGAGGCAGACAGTAGTGCCTCAAGACAACGACACATCAAAAACACACCAATAACACCAATAACACACCAATAACACATCAATAACACATCAATAACACATCAATAACACATCAATAACACATCAATAACACATCAATAACACCAATAACACACCAATAACACATCAATAACACATCAATAACACATCAATAACACATCAATAACACATCAATAACACATCAATAACACATCAATAACACATCAATAACACATCAATAACACATCAATAACACATCAATAACACATCAATAACACATCAATAACACATCAATAACACCAATAACACATCAATAACACATCAATAACTTACAAATAACACCAATAACACACCAATAACACATCAATAACACACCAATAACACATCAATCACACATCAATAACACACCAATAACACCAATAATACACCAATAACACATCAATAACACACCAATAACACATCAATAACACATCAATAACTCATCAATAACACATCAATCACACATTAATAACACACCAATAACACCAATAACACACCAATCACACATTAATAACACATCAATAACACATCAATAACACATCAATAACACATCGATAACACATCAATAACACATCAATCACACATTAATAACACACCAATAACACCAATAACACACCAATCACACATTAATAACACATCAATAACACATCAATAACACATTAATAACACACCAATAACACATCAATAACACCAATAACACACCAATAACACATCAATAACACATAAATAACACATCAATAACACATCAATAACACATCAATAACACACCAATAACACCAATAACACACCAATCACACATTAATAACACATCAATAACACATCAATAACACATCAATAACACATCAATAACACATCAATAACACATCAATAACACATCAATCACACATTAATAACACACCAATAACACCAATAACACACCAATCACACATTAATAACACATCAATAACACATCAATAACACATTAATAACACATCAATAACACCAATAACACACCAATAACACATCAATAACACATCAATAACACATCAATAACACATCAATAACACATCAATAACACACCAATAACACACCAATAACACACCAATAACACATCAATAACACATCAATAACACATCAATAACACATTAATAACACACCAATAACACATCAATAACACCAATAACACACCAATAACACATTAATAACACATCAATAACACATCAATAACACATTTATAACACACCAATAACACATCAATAACACCAATAACACACCAATAACACATCAATAACACATAAATAACACATCAATAACACATCAATAACACATCAATAACACACCAATAACACCAATAACACACCAATCACACATTAATAACACATCAATAACACATCAATAACACATCAATAACACATTAATAACACACCTATAACACATCAATAACACCAATAACACACCAATAACACATTAATAACACATCAATAACACATCAATAACACATTAATAACACACCAATAACACATCAATAACACCAATAACACACCAATCACACATCAATAACACATCAATAACACATCAATAACACATCAATAACACATCAATCACACATTAATAACACACCAATAACACCAATAACACACCAATCACACATTAATAACACATCAATAACACATCAATAACACATTAATAACACATCAATAACACCAATAACACACCAATAACACATCAATAACACATAAATAACACATCAATAACACATCAATAACACATCAATAACACACCAATAACACACCAATAACACACCAATAACACATCAATAACACATCAATAACACATCAATAACACATTAATAACACACCAATAACACATCAATAACACCAATAACACACCAATAACACATCAATAACACATAAATAACACATCAATAACACATCAATAACACACCAATAACACATCAATAACACATCAATAACACATCAAAAATTAACACGTGACATTCCCAATCGCACCCAGTCCACAGATGTATAGTACGGAAAGAAATGTGTCAACCTGTCTGCCTACTTTTGCAATAATATGTCGGCTTGACCTGTGGGGAGCATCGCTTTAAGGGCTGGGACGGTCCGGTCAGCTTGCAGTTCTACACTAGTTAAGTCCGTGGATGCCAGGAAACATAAATATGGCCTGACCCTGCACCAATAGGAAACATTATATATATATATATATATATATATATATATATATATATATATATATATATATATATATATATATATATATATATATATATATATATATATATATATATATATATATATATATATATATATATATATATATATATATATATATATATATATATATATATATATATATATATATATATATATCTATATATATATATATATATGTATATATATATATGTATGTATATATATATGTATGTATATATATATGTATGTATATATATATATATATATATATATATATATATATATATATATATGTATATATATATATATATATATATATATATATATATATATATATATATATATATATATATATATATATATATATATATACATACATATATATATATATATATATATATATATATATATATATATATATATATATATATATATATATCCTATTTATATATGTTTACAGGCAATTATACTATGTATAAATCTACTGGTAAGTGTATACACTTGAGTATGTGTAAGTTTAGGTATAATCATTACTTTGTTCTGGCATGCTTACGTTGTGAAGAGCAAAGTGTAGGCGTTTCCAAAGCTAGAGACAGGGATGGCTGGAAATGCCGCGCCAGAAGTTTTAGACACGGGTAGGTAGACGGTGACACCGAACTTGGCGCTAGACCTGGCCTGCAGGGCTGACCCGCGGGAAGCGTGGCCCATCCTGTCACAAACAGGTCACTTGTGTTATTTACATATATCTTGTGTGGCATACCGAATATTGTGGCTACTTGTATACCGCATGTATAGTTTCCTTTTTACAGACGTGGTATTTGTGTACATACATAGTACTTTTGTTATTACTTTTAACATACAGAACACTTTAGCTTAACATAGTACTTTTGTTTCGTACAAGGTAGGACTAATTTTGAGATTTTTTTTTTTATGAAATGTAGTTTTCTTGAAAAGAAAGTATTTTATTTTGCAAACGAATTAAAACTAAGAAGGAATATACGTTTACATTGACTGAGATATACTTATATTGAAAGTTTGTGGGATGAATATAATAGTGATGTATGAATGGTAACGATTTTCGAATTAAGAACTGATTTCGTATCAAGAATGAGACTTAAAACCTTTTTCCTATTACTATGGTATGTATCTACCCAACCCAAGTAGAAAACAAAACCTACAACCTGTTTCCTATTACTATAATGTGTATCTACCCAACCCTAGTAGAAAACAAAACCTACAACCTGTTTCCTATTACTATAATGTGTATCTACCCAACCCAAGTAGAAAACAAAACCTACAACCTGTTTCCTATTACTATAATGTGTATCTACCCAACCCAAGTAGAAAACTAAACCTACAACCTGTTTCCTATTACTATAATGTGTATCTACCCAACCCAAGTAGAAAACAAAATCTACAACCTGTTTCCTATTACTATAATGTGTATCTACCCAACCCAAGTAGAAAACAAAACCTACAACCTGTTTCCTATTACTATAATGTGTATCTACCCAACCCAAGTAGAAAACAAAACCTACAACCTGTTTCCTATTACTACAATGTGTATCTACCCAACCCAAGTAGAAAACAAAACCTACAACCTGTTTCCTATTACTATAATGTGTATCTACCCAACCCAAGTAGAAAACAAAACCTACAACCTGTTTCCTATTACTATAATGTGTATCTACCCAACACAAGTAGAAAACTAAACCGACAACATGTTTCCTATAACCATTGTAAATCTCCGCCCTCCCTGACGTCCGCTTGACGAAAACCAAACTTACATCATCACCCTGGGTACCGCGTATGTCTCCACCGCCAAGTTTGTCACCAGCAGCTCCGTGGCCCTGAACCCCGGGAGGCGCGGGGCGGAGAGGGTGACGGTGATCTCCTCTGGTTGAAGCGAGTACGCCATCAGCAGCGGCCTGCCCTCCGGCATGAACGGGAACTGCAGCAAGAAGTGAGTACCCAACATAGAGGCCTCGCCTGTTGGAGAGAGACGAGTCTCCACATCGGTGCTTACATGTTGCAGCTATGGCATTATTGCATGGTGGTCGACTGGTGTTACTTACCGATCAGAGTTTCTTCCAGGTATCTCCCCCCCCCCCCCACCCAGAAAAAAGTCTACCGCCTGCCCTCCCCCCCCCCCGAAAGAAATGGAATTTATATAGAAAATATATACTTTTAACAGTGTCCGCCCCCCGGAAATTTTAGTCCGCCCCCCCCTTGAAAGTTTCAAGTGTCCCCCCCCCCCCCTCAGAGAAAAAAGTCTAGGAGAAACACTGTTACCGATCATTATTGTTGACATAAATAAAAACATGGTTTTTTTTAAAATTATTTTACGATCAAAGCGGACTAAAAAAATTGCAATATTGTTGAAAAAAAATGTTTTGAGTTTATGGTTACATTAAAAAAAACAGTGTTATATAATTTCATCACGCCTAATATCTAACCCGAACTAAGACTAAATATTTGACTGATTATCCGGGAACTCAGTCATCAATATTCCGAAACCTGACTTCACAAAAAGCTCTTAGATCTAGATCTAGTAGTTTGTACTCAGAGCAATGCCGATACCATTTTAATAAAATGCATTTTTTTTAAAAATCACGTGACCTAGATCTAGTTCAGCCATTTTTTATTACATTTTGTGTCATAAAATGTAAACAACCAAAATTATTTTTGGCTTTTAAAAAAAATTGTGCTTAGTTCCCGAAAATACTAAAGCATCAAATACATTCAGTCATAGATCTACATTAAGTCCGTCAAAAATCAGTCATGTTGTTATGACTTCGCACCAGAGTTTAAAAATAATTCATACACAATTTCGAGACTATTAGATCTAACTTATTAATTTATTAACAACCACCTCAACTAGCACCCGGTCGTATCAACTTACTTGTGACCAGCTCCATGAGCAGCCATTGCAAAATTAAAATCCAACACCGCATTTGAATTCCATAAAGTACACGCCCACTCCTAAAGCAAGAAAGCAGCTTCGACTCAGTGTGGATGGAATATACGAGATTTAAAACCTTGTTCTAGGTAAGTGTTCCCAGGACGGGGGTGTTAGTGCAAACTGGTAAACTTCCGGTCATTGCACCGATTCGTATAATGAACATCGGTGCGCAAAACAAGCCCATAGTTAAAAATTCAAAACGTGTAGGCCTATACATCGGCTGCATGGTCTTTTTCTTCTTACGTTTTATTTCCACCTTCAGAATTCAGGAACTGTAAAATTATAATCATCAATATCATCATGAATTATCATAAATTATCATCATCATCATCATCATCATCATCATCATCATCATCATCATCATCATCATCATCATCATCATCAACACCATCATCATCATCATCATCATCATCATCATCATCATCATCATCATCATTATCATCATCATTATCATTATCATCATCATCATCATCATCATCATCATCATCATCATCATCATCATCATCATCATCATCATCATCATCATCGTCATCATCATAATCATCGTCATCATCATCATTATCATCATCACTAGGATTCCTTTTGGTGACTTGCAGAAGAAAGGGCTTCAGTCACAGAGGTCCATCACCCATAAAATGAGAATCGAAAGTCGCCTTTTGAAATTTTAAAATAATTAGTACTAAAAGTACGATTTAATTTAAGACAATGCCAGTAGAATTTAACTGGATCAATAACTTGCAGTTGTGTTATAGAGCGTAATGCAACCTACGCCAGTCCAATTTTATTTTAACACGTTTTTATTAACTCAGCTTCGCGTGGATGTGTTTGTTGTTAAAATTGACATCGAAAATTAGCCCACTTCTGATTGTTCTATAGTTCTGAAATTTGGCATGCAGGTTACTTTCGCCTAACAATTTCAGATGCAATCATAAAAACTAGCAATTAGAGACCGTAATTAGCTTAATTTAATTACGCCCCAAGGACCATAAAATTGGGGACATGATTTCTAAAGATACCGACAAGACTGGAGGCCTATAGACACAGTTACTTCGGCCCCAATCGATGTGAGCGCGCTGGCCGTGATCGTATAGTGGTTAGTACTTCGCGTTGTGGCCGCGACAACCCAGGTTCGAATCCTGGTCGCTCAAGATTTTTTTAGTCCGTGTATTTATAAACACTTTTTTAAAAACCACGTTTTTCATGTGTAGCAACGGACTAAAAAGGAGAAAATAAAATACTTAAAAAAAAACTTTTTAAAAAACCACGTTTTTCTTGTGGACTAAAAAGTAGAAAATAACTATTTACATACATTTGATGACAAAAAACGTGGGTCGGGCAGATGGGTCGGGAAATTTGATGGTGAACGTACCCACGTTTTTTGTCATCAAATGTATGTAAATAGTTATTTTCTACTTTTTAGTCCACAAGAAAAACGTGGTTTTTAAAAAAGTTTTTTTTTAAGTATTTTATTTAAAATGTCTTCATCTGAGATTGACACACAAAGTTCTTCCAGGCTTTTCTTCGGGGGGGGGGGGGGGGGCGGGAATCCCTCCGGAGTAAGTCTACCACCCCCATCCCGAACGAAATGAAATATATAAAGAAAATATTTACTTTTAACGGTGTCCGCCCACCACCCCAGAAATTTTAGCTCCCCCCCCCCGGGATAACAAGTTAATTAAAAAAGTCTAGTGACATTTATGCGCAATTTCCTTATGTTATCTAAAAATAGCTCTGACGTATAATGTTGGGGGGCGTTCAAGCTAGAAGAACGATCGGTTTGTAGGTGTTTATGTAATTTTAAAATTTGTGACCGAACGAGAGGATATTTTTGAAAACTTTCTTCGGCAATATTGTTCTAAATTATGGCAAAAATCGATTGGTACATGTTTCAAGTCGCTAAGTGGTCTGGTGGCCGAGATATGGGCCAAAAACTGAATTTTTTCGAGGTTTTTTGGCTTTTCCGGGAAATACATGAAGGAAACCCGGAATTTTTATGGCCTATGCTCATTCTCGTAACTTGCTTAACATAATTGCTTTTGGAACTAGTCATCGATACTGCTTCGTTGAGGAGGAGATACGACTTAAAGCCCGGACACGCATTCATCCATACATTCATTCATTCATCCATCCATTCCCAGAAATGACGAGTTAATAAACGCAATTCTCCAGAATGGAAATTGCGCTAAAAAAAGTCTGGAAGAAACACTGCTGACATATATTACTGGCAGACAATAGACGTTACATGCAAACATAACTGTAGCTTTCTTCCGTTCTTACAAGAAACTTCTTAGCAATGTAATGTAAAAAAAAACCATCGGTAGTTGTTTTATTAAAAAAAGCAAGATGTGTCGTTCACATTATCATACCAACGTTGACATACATTGTTCATGCTGAGATTTCTTACACCATTTCAATCTTTACAGAACAAGGCTACTTGCTATTTCAAGGTAATGGATAAACAGAATTTAAAAATAAAGATTTTTGAAAGAACATAAAAAGTTCTGAACCATAAAATAATTGTGTTCACTTTGATTATACATTCAAAGATACTCTAATACCAAGAGTAATGTATTGTATAATCGTTAACGTGTTAGCGTTTATATATATATATATATATATATATATATATATATATATATATATATATATATATATATATATATATATATATTGTTTTGTTATATTGTAATTTATAGTTTAATGGTGTTGGTTAAATGGATGGTACTACATTTTAGTTACACTAAATAGTAAATTTCCTATTCAAACATTCGGTCTATGGGGCAAGTGAAGTAGAGTTAAACTTTTCGTGTGAACTCGGCTTACTTTCCCTAACGTGTCTTAGGTTGTATCAGAGCTGCGTACCTATCAGAGCTGGGTACCTATCACAGCTGGGTACCTACCAGAGCTGGGTACCTATCAGAGCTGGGTACCTATCAGAGCTGGGTACCTATCACAGCTGGGTACCTATCACAGCTGGGTACCTATCACAGCTGGGTACCTATCACAGCTGGGTACGTATCACAGCTGGGTACCTATCAGAGCTGGGTACCTATCACAGCTGGGTACCTACCAGAGCTGGGTACCTATCAGAGCTGGGTACCTATCACAGCTGGGTACCTATCACAGATGGGTACCTATCACAGCTGGGTACCTATCAGAACTGGGTACCTATCAGAGCTGGGTACCTACCAGAGCTGGGTACCTATCAGAGCTGGTTACCTATCACAGCTGGGTACCTATCACAGCTGGGTACCTATCAGAACTGGGTACCTATCAGCTCTGGGTACCTATCAGAGCTGGGTACCTATCACAGCTGGGTACCTATCACAGCTGGGTACCTATAACAGCTGGGTGCCTATCAGAGCTGGGTGCCTATCACAGCTGGGTACCTATCAGATCTGGGTTGACGCAAAGTAGTTCTACTGACTGGGTCCCGGATTCGAACTCGAAACTTTTGGGTTAGCATTCCTCAGTTCTACCGCTAGTCAAACAATATTATCCCTTTTTCTCCCAGACGATTACACAAAAATGTAAGCCCCTGACACCCAAAACCTTAGAATATATTTAACACTTAATTTTACACGTCAATTAACACGTAACATAGCCCCTAAGCCGATACTTAACACAATACTTTATTCAACTTACACAAATAAACAAAATATAAACAAAAATTACCATAAACATTAAATCAAATTTCAAAAAGTATTTTTTAAATATTTATTTCATATGGAAATATTTCAACACACAGGCAATAATGGCGGATGTTTGCTATTTAGTTAGTTCAGCTACTGGTTGAACTGTTAACTTCTGCTACAGGTTGAACTGTTAACTTCTGCTACTGGTTGAACTGTTAACTTCTGCTACTGGTTGAACTGTTAACTTCTGCTTCTAGTTGGTCTGTTAACAATGTCAATGATCACCTATCAAAAGAAAAAAAAATTGATTGCATACGCTTAGTACTTTTAACTAAAGTAAGAAGTAAAGTTCTCCTTCCAAAACTCGACGGTCTATGCAGCAAGTGAAGTAGAGTTCACCTGTTTGTACCTCAGCATATGAATGGATAGTGTGGTCAGCACTATGCCCAGCCGCCTTTACTTTCCCTAACATGAGTTAGGTACCCATCAGAGCTGAGTTGACTCAGGGTCAATCTACTGGCTTGAACCCGGATTCGAACTCAAGGCTTAAAGGTTAGCTGTCTTGCTCTCTACAACTTGGCCATTCCGTCCCACAATGCTTTTTCTAACCAATTTTAAATACAGTTTTTTTTTAGGTTGCTACATAAAATAAAACGGTAGTGATCTCCCTTGAACTCACTGGTAAATAATTCCGAACAGTTGGGGGTTGGAATGACACCTTTAGTGCTATTGGGCTCTAAAAATACAGAAGTTTGTGTCGAAGCTATTTCAAATCTAGCGATTGATTTAGCAGATTGAATATTTATTTCATTTATTTCTGTGACCTCGGCATGTGAAGAGATACTTAGGTCCAGAGGCGTAGCGACCCTTCCCGGCGCCCGGGGACAAACTTTCAATTTGGCGCCCCCCTCTGGAGCAAATTTTCAATTTGTACCCCCCCCCCCCCACCCTTAAACTTTCGTTTTGCAAAACCCCCCCACCCCCTCTTCCTATTTATAATGTAAAAATGCAGCTAAAATGACATTTAAATTTGTTTTTACAACCCATTTTGGCGCTCCCTAAGGTCGGCGCCCGGGGACATATGTACCCCCTGCCCACCCCCATCGCTACGCCTCTGCTTAGGTCTGCATTCTGCCATAGACGCTAATACGTTTCTTTAACATGAGTCACCACCCATCAAAACTGGGTGGACTCAGGGGCGTCCAACATACCCGAACCTGAACTCTAGGCCCTCGGGTAAAGGACTACACCATCACTTGTTTACCTGCAGCGTGGTTATAACTGGCTTGCGTTGACGTTACATGGTATGTAGTTTATGTATGTTACATAGTTATAACTCGCTTGCATTGACGTTACATGGTATGTAGTTTATGTGTGTTACATAGTTATAACTCGCTTGCATTGACGTTACATGGTATGTAGTTTATGTGTGTTACATAGTTATAACTCGCTTGCGTTTACGTTACATGGTATGTAGTTTATGTGTGTTACATAGTTATAACTCGCTTGCATTTACGTTACATGGTATGTAGTTTATGTGTGTTACATAGTTATAACTCGCTTGCATTTACGTTACATGGTATGTAGTTTATGTGTGTTACATAGTTATAACTCGCTTGCATTTACGTTACATGGTATGTAGTTTATGTGTGTTACATAGTTATAACTCGCTTGCATTTACGTTACATGGTATGTAGTTTATGTGTGTTACATGGTATGTAGTTTATGTGTGTTACATGGTATGTAGTTTATGTGTGTTACATGGTATGTAGTTTATGTGTGTTACATGGTATGTAGTTTATTTGTGTTACATGGTATGTAGTTTATGTGTGTTACATGGTATGTAGTTTATGTGTGTTACATGGTATGTAGTTTATGTGTGTTACATGGTATGTAGTTTATGTGTGTTACATGGTATGTAGTTTATGTGTGTTACATGGTATGTAGTTTATGTGTGTTACATGGTATGTAGTTTATGTGTGTTACATGGTATGTAGTTTATGTGTGTTACATATGTCTGCAGGGCTAGGTACCTTTTGCTGATGTTATGTGACTATTTCTCACTGTGTAGAGTCAAGGCAAGGGTGATCAATACACACACCATCAGTTGCCAACCTAAAAAACACCAGTTCGTTCATTTTGTTAATTGACACAGCTAAATGCGAATGGCATACATCGGTGTTGTGTGTACACAGGTCAGCAATAATCAAATATGGTTTACACATCGGATACACATCTGAATTGTTAAACATAGGATACTCATCTGAATTGTTACACTATGGATACTCATCTGAATTGTTACACTACGGATATATATCTGAATTGTTACACATAGGATACACATCTGAATTGTTAAAATTCGGATACACGTCTGATTTGTCATAAATTATATGTCAGTGCTATAGCTATCTGACTGACAGGTCATCTTAGTGTCAGGGTAAAGTAGAGTTTTACTTTCAGACCTAATGATCCAGAGGGCAGAAGAAGTAGAGTTTATGTGTTTCTTCACCCTGATATATGAAGGGACCGTGTCGTCAGAAGTAAGCCCAGCCACCTCTAGTTTCCCAAACACGAGTAAGATACCCTTCAGAATCCCGCAGCGTCGAGTCCTGCCCGACATCCGAACCCGAGACCTTCTTGCTAGAAGACGAATGCTCTGCAATTCGACCCCGCCGTCCCAGCTAGTGTCACAAAAACTAATACAAAGTATTTAGATACAAGTAATCTGATATCATAGCTGTTGTTATTCGGAAGCTTACAATGTTCTTTGTCATATACTATTCAAATATATACAGTGTCGCATACTATTGATTACAAAACGTAACAGTGTGATGCAGTATGCAGCTTAATAAAATCTACGTACCGGTTACCGTGTGTTGAACTTGTATGGCGCCATTAAAGATACGTTCCACAAACCTTGAGGCTGATCAGTCATAAAAAATTGTATCAATAAAAGTTATACCTACAGTGACACATTCATAATTGTGTAATAGCATGTAATGAATCGTGTATAAAAAATTATAATTGTATAATAGCATGTAAACAATCGTGTATAAAAAATTATAATTGTATAATAGCATGTAAACAATCGTGTATAAAAAATTATAATTGTATAATAGCATGTAAACAATC